AATACGAAAATATCCAGCTCATAAAAATGTGATGTAATAATACGAAAATATCCAGGCTAATAAAAATGTGATGTAATAATGCGAAAATATCCAAAATTTGGCAGAGCGGAGGTTGTTATTTGACAAAAGGCGTGATACTCCCAAAAGTCCAATACCCAACCGGCTCTAGCTCGAGCGGACCGAGCTTTCCATCCCTGCAGGGCTGGTGTATTCGTCCAAGGGTTAAAACTGCTGGCTCAAACATCGACTAACCAACGCCATCGCCCATGTCATCGCCTCTGCCACAGCGCATTCAAAAGCCACGATTTCAATTGGAAGTTTTGTGCATGCAACATCGTAAAAAACGATTCCTCAGCGATGGAGGTTTCATCCTTCTGATTTTTCTGTTTCAGCAAAGTTTAGCACCGTTTTGCCAGCCTTTACACTGCTTCAGCATACAATTGAATTCATGTGCCGTCATGTGTTACATGTAGTCCCACCTGGCTTGTAGTCCCACCTCGATCGAGGAATCAGCCTTTCCCGGGTGTTCTTTCCTCTATTTTCTAATTTTTTTTTGCGCCGCTCAGTCCTATGTTCTCTACGGAGCACTTTGAGCTTTGAAACGGAATTTTGAAAATAGATCCTATGCCAAATATTCATCACTATGTCACGGTAGCCACTTGAACAACCAAGCCTATTTTTTAAAACATCTTTTCTAGGCGTACCCAAGTTGAGTAACCAAGTTGAGCAAAGAAAGTTTTTATGTGAGTTCGAAGAGGTCCGACGAAACTACAAAAATGGGCCGCTCGGGCTTGTTGGAAGCTTTTCTTATCTACTGTACATGAACCGCTGCTATTACGTTATGTTACCTCGCTACGATTCCCCGTTTTTCAATGGTAATAAATGAGTATAAAGTCTTCGCCGTTGATCAATCCCTTTGTGGGATGCGGCACGCATTCTACTTCCATTCAGAATCGTAGTGGCTTATTGAGCCATTCAGAATCGTAGTGGCTTATTGAATGCGATGTGGCCTATACAATGACTTGCGGGGCCAGCCGATGTACAAGTCAGTGTTTTATCCTCCCAGACGAATCTGGTACCAATTTACCGTCCCCGGAGGGTAGAAGGCTTGGTTGGCCTGGGCGGGTGTCGACCCGGGATTCGAACCCAGGACCGCGCGAGTGGTAAGCGCGCCACTTGTCACTACACCAATTCCGATTCTTTCAATAATAAACTAGTAAATACTCGGAAGCAGAAGGCAAGAATCTCATGGGACAGGTAATTCCAACGTTCTATGCTTTCAGGCGAAGATGGTGTAGTGACAAGTGGGGCGCTCACGGTCCCGGGTTCGAATCCCGGGTCGACTCCCGCCCAGGCCAACCAAGCCTTCTACCCTCCGGGGACGGTAAATTGGTACCAGATTCGTCTGGGAGGATAAAACACTGACTTGTACATCGGCTGGCCACCGCAAGGCCACATCGCATTCAATAAGCCACTACGATTCTGAATGGAAGTAGAATGCGTGCCGCATCCCACAAAGGGATTGATCAACGGCGAAGACTTTATCCTTTTATCCTTATGCTTTCAGGAAAATTTCTTTGTTGCTGCTTTTCGTTCCGCTATCAATTTCTGGTTAGTTCCCTTCTTCGTGCCCTACTTCACTCGTACATATTGAGCACATACGCCTTTGACTATGACCCATTTTATGTTCAGTTTCCTAGTAATCAAAAATCTCATCAAACGATATCTGAGCCGACTGTTAGCAGCCTGGGAATGGAAGACGAAGAACTATACTGGTTCGGTAATGTTATGAAAAACTAGACGAAAGATGTTCAATGAAGAGAAACTCTCACCATCGATCTGCTCACGTGTGAAAAATTCCGTCTGAAAGCAGAGTTAGTAAATGAAAAGTGCTCGAACAGAAATCAATGCTACTGTTGTAGTAATCGATAATCACACGCAACTCACCATATCTCGAGCAAGACGCGGCCCTAAATAGAACGTCCGATCGTCACCGCCGCGAGATCGGCCGACTGTTGTTTGCTGACAGCTGGTGGTTAACTGTGGGGACAATCGCCGTTGTGTATCCGTTCGGAAAGGGTGTCGCGAAGGGATGAAGCTACGTGATTAAGGTGTGGACATCCCATTAAAAACGAACTGTAGTTTAGTACCCTCTCTTAAAGTTGTTTCGGAGGTCAGTTCGCCTTCGAATCTCCATACATCTGAGTGGAAGTCATGTGCGTGGCGCATCCCACAAAAGGTTGATCAACAGGTTTTTGCTATAGTTCTTGTTCAGCACATGTAGAGGATGCATTCCCAAATATTCCAATTTTTCGGCACGAATTATCCTAAAGTCCGGTAGATAAGTCCGCCATCAGTTACATAAGTCCGCGCGACAGCGGTCGAGGCAGGTGCGAAACTGAACGAGGCTCTATCAGCTGAAACCAATTTCTACCGTTTCTAGAAAAAGGTGACTTGTAAACGAACTCCTAGAGATGTGACCACAAAAAAAGGGCAGTAAAGGTTGGATGATCAAAGAATAGGAGGAGAGATAGGGTTATAGAAGTTTGAAACAAACAACAAAAGAGGTAAACTGCTTGTGAAGAACGTTCATAACAGCCTCAATAAATGCGCCCAATTTCGTGACATGGAGGGGAAATATGCACCAGAAAATGAACTCAAGTTATTTTCCTCATAGATACTCTTGCTAGCATGACGAAATTGAAGAAAAACAATCGATTGAAAATGAAACGTGCCATCAGATTGTGGTCATACTTTGCGACGGTATAGAAAAAGTACAAATCAGAAATCTTTCATTAAACTTCAATTCCCTCTTAATCGACTACAAACCTCCTCTCCCATCACTACATACTTGAAGTGCTCCTTGAATTGTTCTTGAAGAGAGCTTCTAACTGTAATAGTATTCTCTTGAGTTTCTCACAGTAAGAGTGTTTTCGTGTCTTTGCTGAAAACTTGTTTTTGATGCTCCCGATTCCCAGATTGTGATATAGACTCCGATGCTGAGTCAACATTTTTAGAGAAACTCTCTTTGAGAACTGAATGTGACTTCCTTGCATTCACTAATCTTTGCTGGTCGCGATTTTTCTTCATTTTAACGTTGCCTCCAACTTCACTCCAGAGGCGCGTAAGGTAACACACTTAACATTGAGGGAAACCGTAACTCCAAGAAAGCCCTAAGTGACATTGTCTCCGCCGGAAGGTCTTCAGTCTTCAAGCGTACCAGGAAATTCAACATACCAACCCGGACTCCCTCCAGCAACGACACACCCATAAATGGCCGCACCGATCACCAACTGACCACCATCGGATCAGCTGCTTTCACCCACAGTCTGCTACTTTTTCATTCTTTCAGGGCCGCTTATCAAGAGTCACGGTTCTCACTTGTAATGAAAACATCTTGCTTTAGTGGAATGCAAGGGTTTTTAGCAAGTAGCGCCTGCCTGTTTTGTATTTAGTTTTGGACATCTTTTACTTTTATTGGCTTTTTCACTTGATCCCGCGACTTTTCGACGCCATTCCGTTAAAATGTCATTGATATCTCCCTGCTATATTGAAGACCCCTGTCGACATTGTCGTGAAGTTAGCTATCGCCTGGAATAATGTGTTTTTATATTTCTTGGGCAGCTCTGAATTTTTTCACCTTGATCTCTGACCAGCGATAATTAATCTCAGGCGTGGACTCGTACAGTACCTGAAAGGAGCGGTCGATGAGGGTTTTTTGGTTGCTTTTGGCCAACTTGTCTCGTTTTTGCTTTACTGACGTACATACTATTGAGTGCCTCCGCTCCCGTTTTCTGCAGAGCACAAATTATCTCGAACACTGCCTCTAACTAGCGATCTCCTAGTTAGTTTGAAGACAGCCCCCGCGCTTACATACAGCCCCCAAGCTAGAGACTGTCCCACTCTATTCGACTCCACAGCGAGCGAGGAGCGAGCTACAGCCGCTGAAAGTTCTAGTTCTAACGCCCGCTCAGTTGGACCGCCTCTTGCTAGATGCCCTCCGACGGAGGGCCGCTCAGTTGTTCTTTGTTGGGGCGGCGGGCATTAATCGGAATTGCATGTCCTTTTTGCTGACCGCGCTCGTGCCCATGAATAATTCTGCTCCCTTTATTACATTTTATTCATTGGGAGCACATACAGTCAACTCCAACCCATCTCGCAAGGTAAAGGCGTAAAAATCACGAGCGACCCGATTTTCGTGGTGCAAAACGCACTAACTACACTAAAAGATGCACGCTACCGTAACCCTAAATTCGGACGCCGAGTTTTTAAGTTTCTTTTCCTTTTCGAGTTTTTCTTCCGTGTTTTTGTTGTTTTTCGTATTCTTTTCTTTGCACTGGATGATATCCACTACTGGGAGATGTGATAAAGGGATTTGTGAGCCAGGGGTTGCACAGAGACCGCAGGAGGTGTGACTGTCAGGGAGCGATTTTGTTTATGGTGTTCTTGAGGACTCTTCTTGCTTTTTTCTTCTTTGGGGAATTACTTATCAGCTACTGTTTCATAATTGAAAAGCAACTATCCATGACACTTTTATCGCGGGAGCTGTCTTTAACAGGTTCCCAGTTGGCAAGGACTAGGGTAGCTCCTCTCTTCAAGCGACGTTAAGAGGTCGCTTTCACTGTGCAGGACGATCGTGCAAAACAAGAAACCGAAAGGGCAACACATTGTAAAAGTAAAAAAAAATGCTACAAAAAGGTTTTTGATGAAACTGTCAATTCGACTTGAAAAAAATACGGGAAGGAAGGTGCTCATGCATTTCGGCTATGGTGTATATGGAGTTAGTGAGAGGGGTATGCAGTGTGTTGTAATCGGAAGTATAAATTTATGATTTTCATTTCATTGTACACTTTTTTATGAGCTTATAGTTGCTTGTTGTACGGCTTGCAATAACCAGAATGAGTTTATTTCAAAACAGCATGGATTTGTATGTACAAAAAGGCTGTTTACAGTGCTTCTCAAAGAGCAAACCGCTTCAGCACGGGTTCCTGAAAATACTTCTAATCCTCAGTGAAAACTCCGGGAGAAAAAATGTATCGCACTTCTTCCGTTGGTTTCCGAGGATTCGACGCTGCGTTTCGGGCCTTTTCCAACGCCTGCTCTAATAGCTCACTCTTCTTCTTTTCTGTTTCCAGTATGTTCGAGATGCGAGCGCTGAAACCGCAATATTTCACATATCTGAGACACGGATTCTTCCATTTTGAGTCAAAATATTACTTGATGCCAAGATCAACTTCAGGGATACCAGCCAGCATGTGCTCCGAAAGAAGTTCATTGCTAGCCTCACTTCGGTAGCCTTTGAGCTTGCGTGCTGCTCTCATCAGTACATCCGAACTCTGAAAGAGAT